ATATTAATTACGTTTGGTATTTGGATTTGTGTCAAATTCATGGGGTGATTTCCAAATACATGTCTAGTGTATTTTTTGTCAACTTCAAATACATTTCAACAACTAGTGATTTGAAATACCTCCTAACAAAAGAATGGACCTATTTGTAAAATATGAAAAGTTTAGGTACTATAGTGTGAGGCAAAACATATAAAGGTACCAAAATGTAATTTTACCATCAAAATTTCAGGACCTTTTTGTAAAATTTTAAAAGTTTAGGTACTAAATTATAAGAAAAAATAATTTTGGGTACCAAAACTGTAATTTACCAAAATTTGTAGTAAGTGACCAGAAAATTAAAAATCGAAATTGAAAATCATAAATACAAAAATACAAACAAATTACAAATGAGTATCCAAACAATGAATTTGAATTACATGTATTTCAAATGCTAATACTTCAAATACATCCATTTCAAATGCTAGTTTTTCAAATACCTTACATTTAAAATACACTTATCCAAACGCACCCTAAACGAATTTGAATTAATGATATTTTTTCCTCAGTGAACAGTTCAGAGAATGTTTGTGGGTAATGGATGGTAGGTTGGTATTTTTATTTTTTACACATATGTTTGTACCAATATCACTCAAGATATCATAAGTAACGAGTTCATTTTAGCAAGGATTGCGAAACCATATCGGAGGTTGTACTGGAAAAGACAATGGTAGGGTATTCTGGACTGAAACCATGGTTCAACTATTTCATATCGCTGAAATCGCCTACTAATTTAGACTCCGACTGAAGGTTTTTCCGGTATCGATTCACCGGTATGGTCTCACAAACATTGCACTGTAGTTATCCATGTATCCCTCGAGAGTTAATCTATCTTCAAATGATACCGAGATAGATTTTGATATCCATAGTACATCTAAGAAGGAGTATATAAGAAAACCGTCATCACTCGATCTCGTTGTTATCAGGGTTTCGTTTTAATTATATACATTATTTCTTCTCTTTCCTTTTGTTGTTTCTTCAATTAATAAATTTTGCTTTAGCTTACCTTTCTTCATGGACATTGATCAAGTAGATCGAATCCTACAGCTACTAGCCAAGCATATTAATTGGAATAATTTTGGACAAAGCTATAGCATATTCATATGCTTAAGTGATTGTTAGAAAAACAGCTAAGAGCAATGTAATTAAATTAAGATAAACCATTTTATTGTTCTTTTCTGGCTTCTTTTAGTTTACAACTAATAAAATATCAATTAGTTGAGGCTGATAAGATTTTTGTCCTCTAAGCTACCATCATTAAGAACCACTAATTTGAACACTCAACTTTTACTATATAATAATTAATAATAATGATTTCTTGGTGTGGTTTGCTTTGCTTGAGAACAACACATGCCATGGATTCCCAATCATATTGCCTCCCAATAAACAATATATACATCAACAAAAGAAAATACAACTTCCAAAGGGTGAGTCACCTAATTGAGAACAACTCTATAGATGATTTCCGCTCACTGATTGATTCTTAAGTAGAGGAACCTACTTAAGAAAAATTGGTGTGCAATTAATCAAATCTAAGAGGCAGGGCTATGTTTCGTATGGAGATCGTTGTCTGTCCGCGGTTTGTTCCTATTCGTGTGAGTTTTATTGATCGGTTTCATAACAGATTTGTTCATGTATTGTACTCGACAAGTCATTTCATTAAGTGCTACATTTTTTGTAGGGTGATTTGTTTCTTCATGACGTTTAGCTTGTCCATAATATGTTTGTTTTTTCATGATAACTCGAACGATCTAATGAAAATAATCAAATAAAAAATATTTATAATCATGAATATCAGTTTAGAAAAATGAGGGGTTGGAGTGTGAACTAATGCATCCATTATCATTGTACAATGAAGCTAATTTGGGCTCCACGCGTTTTTATTTTTGTCACATTCTCCAGCTTTTGCTCTTTTCAAGTTTGATTAAAGCTCATCTCGATGAATGATTCAGCAAAATGAAAAAGCACGATAATGAAATGACTATGAAACCAATAGGCACAATGTAAGCTTTGTAATGGACGAATGAAAACATTTTAGATTATACAATAAAACTTGAATTGTTAAAGACAATGTTGAAAGTATCCTTTATAATCTAGAAGTCCATCAGGTTTTGTCATTTGTTTAACACTCAGGTTTTGATTTTTGAAAATATACAAGACGTAGTTGAATGTGTTGTGGGACTATTTGCTTGCCGACGTGATTAGAAGCAACTCGTCCATTCTAATAAATACTAGCGTGGGCCTCGGCCATTTGACCGGAGGAAGGTAAGGTATGAAATTTGATAATGTAATGGGTATATAGCTTATTGTTGTATAGTTTTTTTTGGGAAACACGTGATAAAAATAGTGAATTTTAGGAGGAAAGAGACATGAATGATACAACGAATCAAAAATCAGCCTTATGAACCAAAATCAAGTACCTGTTACCTTGTGAAACAATATTGTTTCTGGTAATATGATGATGTGGAGTAAGTTTTATAGAAACCAAATTCCAGAAATTCGAATAAAAAATCGCCTATCCCGTCTGTTTTCGGGAAATGAGCATCTCACAATCGTTGCTAGCTTTTACTCAGCCCGTTGGCCGATTAATTTGCTTTATAAAACTTTCATCTCCATTGTGCTTTCTGGTTTTTTACCAAGCCCTGATAAAATCTAAAGAAATCAAGAATGAACAACACTATTTGGGATAGGAACCACCGTTCCTATATCCCTAGAAAATGGTGGTAAACACGGGCTCACCGGCCAAACTGGTTTGGATTGAGATTTTTATCGGGTATCAGGGAACCATGTGATTATAAATTAGACTTGATCAAAACAAGCCAAAACTTGAAATTCAGCCTGTTTGACCGACCCATGCCAAACTCTAATTATTTACTTTTAAACATTCTCTTTGAAAATAAAAAATAATGAAAGAAAAGAGATGACTGCAATTCGCCATTTGCACATCACTGATTCGGGAATAAAACTATAGAATTTCGAAAGGAAACTGAAAATGTTTAGGATTGTTTTAATGTTAAAAATAACCAAATAGATCTTTCTGTTTAGTTTTTTACTAACAAATACCAAACGATTCCCTATAATATACACTATAATTTAATCATTATGATATTAAATAATTACATAATATATATTTGAAATGATAAAAATTGGACTAATTGGATTGGTCGAGGTTGAACCATTGAATAACTTTAAAATACATTATATTTTAGCCAATAAGATATAAAATAATAGCATAATATATATTATGCTAGAGAAAATAGCTTGTTTTAGAATGTCAAACCCATGATGTTCATTTGTTTTACTTGATGGGCAAATCTCGTGTAAGTCAGACCCATTCAACTCTTTTATTTTATGATTAGCGGTTAACCCATTAGAATTCATGCATTAATTTACTGTTAAATTTTTTTCTTTTTAGCAATTAAAAGGAGGATTGTTTTTTCCTTTTCATATATATTTTACCACCACGGAGAAATAAAAGGACTTAAAGAAAAATATTGACACTCCTGGACCCGTTTAAATCCGCATGTGTACGGTAAGTTGGCCCGTTCAACTCTTTTGTTTTATGATTAACGGTTAGCCCATTAGAATTCATGCATTAGTTTATTGTTAAATTTTTTTTCTTTTTAGCAATAAAAAGGAGTATTGTTTTTGCTTTTTCATATATATTTTATCACCATGGAGAAATAAAAGGACTTAAAGAAAAAAATTGACACTCCTGGACCCGTTTAAATCTGCATGTGTACGGTAAGTTGGCCCGTTCCACAGAGAAAAAAGAAAAAATTGACACTCCCTATACTACCCTTCCTACAAACGCTCCTGGAGCAGGGAATTTGAAATGGCGGAAGTGTTTTTTCCTCTCTGCGATTATATGTTTTTAATTTAAAAAGATACAACAAATGTACTTAGTGTTATTGGTTATGATCTTTGCTTTTCTTTAAGGGATCATGGTTCGAATCCTAGTAAGTGTCTTTTTAATGAATAAAAGAAAAGTAATTGTGAAGACCAAAATATCCTTCCTACTTTTACTCTAGATGCAGAAAATTTGAAATGAGACTTCAAGTTTTCTCATTTGGCTTTTATTTATTGTGTAGATCAATCATATTCAATATCCTAACATGCTTAATCTATAAATGAGTATCTATTTGTAGATGGAATTGTTTTTTAAAATTTTCAATAAATTGAAAGCATTTTGAAATTATGTCGTTCGTATGATATCTTTGGACTAAATTATGATAAGAATAATCAGTCACAATTAGGGATGGTAATTTTGACCTGACCCGATTTACCCGACCTGTTTGACCTGTTTTGGGCGGGTTCGACCCACCCCGTAGGCGGGGCGGGGCGGGAATGGGTACATCTCATCAACCCGACCCGCCCTGACCCGCCCCATTCTCGACCCATTCTTGCCTAAATTACATGTAATCTTAGTCAAATTACTTAGGATTTTCCTCTTATTACATCATATTTTAGGTATAATAAAGTTGTAAATAGGTGAAAAACTCAATTTCTCCATCAACTTAACTACATTTTATCAAATTAATGTTTCGTTCTTGGTCTTTTAATTAAAATAACGAATAATTATAATATTTTTCGCATAAATTATATACCCAATAGATCAACCTGCCCCGACCCACGTCCCATGATAAATTACCCGATTCAGACCCGACCTGTCACATAGCGGGTATGGGTATCGAGATACCCGCCCCGAACATGCTCCATTTGTCATTCCTAGTCACAACAAGTCTCCAAATGAAGCGATGAGTGCGTGAGCACCGACCCTTGGAAATTGCAATTTGGAGGGTACTAATCCGACACAACCCATCAACATAAAACGCTAACAATTAGGGGAAAACGCCAATTTTAATTAACTGGCTAATCAATCTCGCTAAATCTAACCCACCAGAAATAAATAGAGTACAGAACCCAAAGCCCAAACTCCTCCCTCTCTCTCTCTCTCTCTCTCTCTCTCTCTCCCTCTTCCTGATTTTCTTCCCCACTGAAAACGCCAGTTTAGTACTTTAGTTATGCCCTTTTTTGGGCCTTCGTAGAATCTTAATTCAGCACAAGATCAGGATTCAGGAGATTAGATTAGACAGCTTGGTAACGGAGTGGAGAGGGAAAAGGAGGGGGAAAGCAAAGAACCCAGCTGATGGGGAAGGCGAAGTTGAAATCCCTTGTGATTTGAGCAGGTGGAAGAGAGAGAGAGAGGGTGAAAGTTGGAATCTTTTTTTTTTATCTACTCTTATGGAATGCCACTACCATCCCACAATCAGCAGCAGAGGAGGAAAAGGAATAAAGTGGGAGAAGAAGAAGAAGAACTGCAGCAGCTGTTTTGGGTTCTGGGTTTCTGCTCAAAAGGATTTTTCTCCTCAACGGTTGAAACTTAGAATCAGCTGTTTTTGTTGAATCTCAGTATTCGTGGCAATGAGAAGCCAGCATTATAAAGTTGGGTTTTTCCTGTTCTTGCTCTTCTTTGGTCCAATGGGTAATCAGCTGCTCTTCCTTTTGAATTTTACTTTTTTGCTTACTTTGGTAGTATGATTACTCTTCTTCATGATTGATCCTAGATTTTGTCTGTAGAGAGATTGCTTTTTGTCTTTGTGTGTTCTTGTCTTGCTGAGTGATGGCTGAATTGAGCTTAGGTTTTCCCCCCTTTTTCTTCATTAGCAATCAAACTTGTTCTTAGCAGTTTGAAAGTTTGTTGACTCGGGTCAACTTGAGGTCAAATTGCTCTTTTGTGTGGAAGTTCACTTGCTCTTTAGTAAGCAATTCCAAATTGCTTATATACAATTCCAAGCAACAGCTTCAGATAATTAAACTAGAGCTGTTCTAGGGGGTTGATGAATGAATTTCAGCGGTGAAATTGAGGTTTAAATTTCATCTGGCGAACCAATTCGGCATTTCATCCTTTTGGATGACCAAAATTGGGTCAAATAGGTGGAATCGCGAATTCACCAAGCTCCCACTCTCCCCTTAGCTATTTAAGCTTTGTCTAAGGTTTTCTGCTTCTGTTCTTACAATCTTTGCAAATAGGTGGAATTGCTGTTGTTGATTCTCTCTTTGTCTTCGCCTTTCTTGTGCTGCAGCATCATTAGCAGACCCAGCATTCGTTGGAACATATGGAATAAACTATGGAAGAATTGCAGATAACATTCCATCTCCCGACGAAGTAGTCACACTTCTCCGGTCAGCAAAGATACGCAATGTTCGTATCTATGACGCTGATCACAGCGTGCTCACTGCATTCAGTGGAACCGGGTTCAAGCTCGTGATCGGCCTCCCCAACGGGTTTCTCAAAGACATGAGCAGCAATGCAAGCAACGCCATGAGCTGGGTGAAAGACAACGTCCAGAAGTTCATGCCAGGGATATGTGGTGTGGCAATAGGGAACGAGGTCTTGGGAGGAAGCGATGTCGAGCTCTATGGTGCTCTTTTAGGTGCAGCCAAGAACATACACAGCGCTCTAAACCAGCTCGGTCTATCTGATGCAGTCCAGGTCTCTACAGCTCACTCGCAAGCTGTCTTCTCCAACTCCTACCCTCCTTCCTCGTGCGTATTTGCCGAGAACATCGCTCAGTACATGAAGCCATTGTTGCAGTTTTTCTGGGAAGCCGGGTCACCATTCTGCTTGAACGCTTATCCATTCCTTGACTACATGAATGATCCGGCCAGCATCGACATTAACTACGCTCTTTTCCAGAAGACGAAAGGGATTTTCGATCCAAAGACAGAGCTGCACTACGATAACATGCTGGATGCCCAGATAGATGCTGCCTATGCGGCTCTGGAAGATGCAGGGTTTGATAAGATGGAAGTTATAGTGACGGAGACGGGATGGGCTTCTAAGGGTGATGGGAACGAAGCTGCTGCAACGCCGGAGAACGCAAGGACTTACAATTTTAACCTGCGTAAGAGGCTGGCAAAGAAGAAAGGCACTCCGAGGAGGCCGAAGAACATTGTGAAGGCATATATTTTCGCAATATTTAACGAGAATTTGAAGCCTGGGCCAACTTCCGAGAGGAATTTCGGGCTCTTCAAGCCGGATGGGAGCATTTCTTATGATGTTGGATATAAAGGGCTAAAATCATCATCTGCTGATTCAGTGGTTATGTCATTGAAGGTAAATATGTACTTCCCTTTTAATCTTTTTGCTTCGCATTATTTCCCATACCGACAATATCTAGAACTCCTAGTTCTGAATGCAGTCTTTGCACATCTTCATTAGCTTATCTTCTCTTTGGTTATATTCATCGATGCAGGATTTTCCAGCTCAAGGTTTGTTGAGGTCTTATCAGTTTGTCTGGACAATCTGTACCCTGGTATTGCTTCTACTGTTTAGACAATGATGTTTAAGGAACAATCATCTTTGTAAATCAGGCACTCAGGGATCAACAAGTTAAGAGAGTTCAATAGTTATACAGATACAATACGAATCCATGTCAAACTCCAAGAGTACCTACAAAGTAATACTGCGATTCCTTGGTATTATAGCATACTTCTTACAGAAATTGCTGATTGTTTGAGCTCTCTTAAGCAGAAGTGTGCACCTGGGTCAATCATAGAATCACTGCTTACCAGTTGTTTATCCACACTTCGCTGTAAAGAAGGCTGATCCTATGTTTTCTGAGGAACTTGAGCTGTTACTGGCAAGATGAATCACATCAAACCCACTTGTTGATCAAGCTAGAAACTTTTGCTTTGCTGCAGATGAATTCCAGAATGAAGATTCAGGGCAGTTGACCTGGGAATTAATTAGTTTAATGATGATTTTGGTATTTGTTGTGCCGAACCGACATGTGTGGTAAGAAGCTCATTCATATAATACAAGAACGTAGGAAGCCTATTTATTTGACTTCATATGCAGAAGGCTTTGACTGTCCAATCTTGTCCAAAGGTCATTTGTAGTGTACTATTTGTTTATGGTGGTAATCTCAGGATCCCGCGGTTTATTGCATTGATTTTCCAGGAGTCCATGATGTCATCCATGAAATAATCCTCCCTTTGGTGTTATTGGTCTTTCTATCTGACCAAATCGGAGAAGATCAACTTTCCTGGTTTTCCTTCTTTTGTTAAAATATTGTTTCTCTAGCTTTTTAACCCTTTGATGCTTCATGAGGTGGAATTATGAAAGTGTACAAAGACTAATCTAGTTTCTCTGGTTCTCTACTCTGTTTTCCCAAGTTTTCATATCTTCCAGCTTGTAACTCTGCATATCAATCATAAAACGCTTTCAAATATTCGAACAAAAAACCTTTCACAATTTATCAACAGGGTGTCCTGAAATAAATTCACTGTAGTTGAGCAAGCATTTGGATAAATCGATCGCTGACTAGAATCTGCGAGAAAGTAAAAAGAAGAAGAAGAAGACGAGGTGCTGGATTATTCTCACACCAGGCATCGACTAACATAATCTGCAATTCGGGACACGAAATCGACTGAATACCGGAGAAAGATCTTCCAGAACTGGAGATCCTCTGAAACGAACGACGAGAACAATGCGAGCACGAGGAGCAATGCCAGAGTTAGGCAACGGTGCAATGTCCACCCTGAAGCTTTCTCTATCGACCAGGCGGTGATCCACTTGCCTCCGGCAGGTACCAGATCGAATTCCTCCTTCAGCCGCCTTCCTATGTCCCGCATGTGAGCAGCTCCATAGAAGATGGCGATCCTGCTGTTGTTCTGACCCTTTTCATCCATTGCTCTCTTCAGTGCTTCAATTGCTGCTCTGTTCCTGTCTCCGATGATCACTGACTTCTCTTCCACGTCAGGCGTCAACTGAACGAACCTTCACAAAGGGGCGCGAAACAGAAGCAAAAGAAGAAGAAACACATGATTATATTCGCCTTATTGGGGACCGACTGGATCGAATTCTTGCCCCGTATCATGGGGGATTTGAACAGCTAACTTACTCAGATGTGAGCAGGTTGGCAAGAGAGACCTTGATGGCAGCATCGGAATCGAGCCGATAGAGTGCACCTGCTAGATCAGAGAAGTACGAAACTGGACTCCTCCCATTGTAGAGATGAAAGGCAATGATGCAGACGGATACCGGAAGCATAAGGTACCCCACCCAGATCAGCAGCTTAGCTTTCGACTTGGGTATTGCAAATGTCAAAATGCTTTCACCCTTTTCATGCTGCGAGTGAAATACAGTAGGTTCATAAGACAGCGATATCGAATCGAAATGAATGGAACGTGTGAATGGCAAACCGATGGAAACCACCACTGAACCTGAAGTCGTTTGAATGTCTTGTAATCAAGATCAGCATGATACCAATTATCCGCCTCGTAATCGAGACACTTCCCCTGGCGATCGAGGGAGAGAATTCGAGCCATGATACGGAAAGTGAAATCTACAAGTACAAGGTCGAAACAGCTGTACATTGTTCTCCAATTCAGCCGCCGCCTTGCAGCAGTTTCTGGGTTTCCTCTCTTCACTACTTCTGAACTTTCTCCACTGGTCACCAGTTCATAGAGGACACAGTCGTAAGACTCGAGCTCTTTCTGGAGGGCCGAGTAATACCTGCCAGGAGGTTGCAATAAGCTTAGATTTTATGCACCCAGGCCAAAAGGGATTCATGTTCATAGATAGTAAACCCAACAGGCAAAATTGTGGATATGCGGAAGAAAGAGCAGAATCAAATGTAGTAACTCACTCTTTGTCAGCAATGTGGACGGCGGAAACCAAATCAACCTGGTCAAACAATGAAATCCGAGCCAAACTAAATTAGCCCACGACACCAAAGAACGAGCTTGATGAGTTGAAGAGGAGCCAAACCTGGATAGTAGACTCAGGGGACCGCTTCCGGTAACTGACAATGGCGGTCTGCAACTCGCCGGTGCCTCTAATGGGACCTCTCTTGAACCTTGCAAAATCGGAAAACGAATCCGGGCACCCATCTTCGTTGGATTTGGCAGGGGAAGAAGAAGAAGTCGCCATTGTTGAAGCTTGTCGGGAGCTGGTGAGGAATTGGGGCAGAGAGATTTGTTCAATATAAACTGTTAGTAAAACCCCTTACTCGAATTCTGTTAACTCATTGGATAAGGAATAATGGAATGCGAATTTGTTAAGGAATATGACTCTGAGCAGAACCTGACTCTCTGCTCTGTACTTCCTTGTTCATGGCGAACTTTAACTCTGGATATCAATCAATAGAAACTCCTTCTAGTCTTGCAGTTTCAAATGTTCAAACAAAATATTTCACAGATCATCAACATTCCGCAGGGTTTGGGATATGTACTCAACAATCACAAGGTATTGATTATTGAAAGGATAAGACCTTTTTGAATGGGGGGTTTTGAATGGAATCAAGTTCTCGAACAAATTTGCAGCTCTGTTTTCCCATGCTTTCATATCTTCCAGCTTGTCACTCTGGAGATCAGTGTCGATATAAAAGGCTTTCTAATGAGCAATTCGAACAAATTTATCCATAATTTATCCACAGGGCGTCCTGAATATTTGTACATTATAATTGTGTATGCATTTGAATGAATCGTTTATCAACACCAAAAACATAAATAAAAAATTGATAATTATCTTCCCGTGCAAAAAATGACATTCGAGTCATGACTCAACTAATAAGTTACATATCAGTTGAATTGCAGCTCAATGAGTTTACGAGTTATCCTTGCCTTGCTAATAAATGGAGTTGTGGATAAATTGGGTTATCGGACAATGAGGTTAGAGGTCGATCAAATTGCCAAAATGTCAGGTAATGGGGTACGTTGCATCGCAGTTTGCAAGTGATTGATTTTTGGTCAACTCGAACTACTATTGGGTTGCCTTGGACAAGCTTAAACATGGTTTAGGACTTTAGAAGTGCTAGATAGGTAGGTTGAATCACTTTAAGTTTCATGATATTTTGGATCAGTAGGATAATTGCTCAAATACGATCGGATCACGAGTAATTAAATTATAGATCGATTGGATTATGGGTTCATTTAAGTTGTGGACTGTTCTAAACCGAGACTGATTATAAATGTCGGGTTAGATTTTGATAGCCCTTACTTTTGTTTTATACTTACATCTTATAACAATTCTTTTTCACATTCCAACTCAAATTAACCCTATAATCTAATTATTTCTTTGTCATTCTCTTTAACCCTTTGTCAAATATACAGTAGGAACTCCACTAGGCCACGTAGGTTAGCAAAAACTTGTGTCAACTACTCCCTAGAGAGAAAGGAATAGAGTTTATCTGAAAGTAGCTTTTGAGCCAAGTCAATAAATGTCAAACTTGATTAGGTTTGTGGGGTAGTTAAAGTCTCATACTAGCTTTAGACTAAGTGTGGGTTTCTTGATACTTCATCCGACTGTGACACATCAACCACCCTAAGAACATTGACGATGCTAATATGTAGCATGAAACATCTATTCAATTATACTGTTTCGATATTAGGTTACAATCGCTATCATAACAAAGAACACCGCGTATTAGCGTATCCATCATAATGCATTCCATTCCTTGAATTATCTTATATGGTACACGCGCCAACGATCATCGTTGCAAGCGAGAACCAAGTGATAATGTTTGGTAAGCATGCTTAACTACCTTGCTCCCTTCAGCTTGATAACTACTTTGATCTCCTCATCAAGAACGAAGAGACTGTAAATAATTTACTCCAAAACTAACCGACCAGATGAAAGCCGCCCTGCCATTCGTGGAGAAATTGTCATCATTTGGTTACAAACTTATTCAGAACCCAAAAAAAACAGCATTAAGATAAGCAAGGATTGAATGGTCTAAGTTGATCATGAAAGAACAAGCCAAATGTCAGCAGAACTTATCATAAATAATCCCCAAATGTCATCTTCACCAGATACACCATTAGAATAAACAATCGGTGCCATTTGGAAGCAAGCAACCGAACCAAGCCATGATCATGAAATTGGACTGTTTCTTCTTCAACCCATTCCCCATAAAGTAGCAGCCCTCCCACCCTAGCTAGTTTGGTGATGACAATGGCAAGATTTCAACAACTACCTTCCTCGCCGTTCCCATTTGCCATAATACATTATCCACCTGCTCCACGTGTCACCAACCCATTTCCTCTGCAGCAGTACCAACTCCATCTCCATCTATATAAAGGGTCAATAGCGCCATCCACATTGGAACCCACCACATTCACAGAGGCATTTCATCGAACAGGTTGTGGGATCGAGACAGGAGCGGAAAGAAGGGGGGCGACCGACCTGGGAAGAGGGTTTTTCAGAACACAAACAGTGATGGCGTCTGCAGGTGTTGTTGTGGCTGTGGTTTTAGCAGCAGCTGCTCTGTTTTCCATGGCAGAGGCGGCGGATTTTCAGGTTGGAGATGGACAGGGGTGGCAACCGCCTTCCGACTCGAGCTTCTACTCCACTTGGGCCAACGGCAAGACCTTCGCCATCGGTGACACCCTCAGTATGTTTCCTCGTAATCAAAATCGCGCTTTAAACTTTAGAAGCTTATGTTTTTACAGTTTTAGAACACCAATACGTTTCTACTCGTAAAACATACAAACTTGTGCTTCTACGTAGAATCGAAATTTTGACCGCATTTAATTCGAATCAATTCATTCCAACGATACGATGATATCCGCCGTCAAAGGCAGAGCAACAAAAAAAAAAACAGAGTAACTAAATTGTTGTGGTTTGTTTGTTTCATTGGGCAGCCTTCAATTTTGCGACGGGGCTTCACGACGTGGCGGTGGTGACGAAGGCTGAATACGACGCCTGCAACGTTGCGGCGGCGAACAACGTGATGAATACGGGACCGACCACCGTGACTCTCAACTCCACGGGGATGCAGTACTTCTTCTGCACTTTCTCCAACCACTGCTCCAGGGGACAGAAATTGGCCGTCAACGTTGGCGGGGGAGGAGGAGGCGGCGGCTCTTCCGGTTCCCCAACTACGCCGTCATCGCCATCGGGCGGCGGATCTCCCCCGTCCACCGGCGGGAACGGGAGCCCACCGTCGACTGCGACGCCCAGTTCGGCAGAGAGTTTCGCGGCCAGCTTCGTTTTGATCTTGATTTCCCTTGCCGTTGGTGCCGTGGTTTGGTTTTAGCGACCGTATTGGGAGTTGGATTTGTATTTTGACAATTAATGTACAACACTATTATGTGACCATGTTGATTATACTTCATTACTTTGTATCTTGCTGAGGTTTCTTGTTGAACTTTTCTTTTTTGTATATTTTTTGCTCTCAGTTTTATGATATAATAAATAAATTTTATTGTTTACCTTTAGGTACGTTTTTTTCTAATGAGTAAAACGAGTTCAGAAAATAAGGGTATGCAGCGATTTTATAATCAGAAGAAACTTGAGGATTATAGTTATGGTGAGAGTATTTGGTCCGACCCAAATACCCGTTGGACTTCTTTTTCCTCTAATATTAAAAATTGGCCCCGTTACGTTCGTTTAGATTTGGTCTGGTGTGGACTAAACTCTTGCACTAGTCGAGAAGAATGTCATATTATAATTTTATTGATTCGATATCCATTTCATTACTTCTCGTTGTTGGTTAGGTAATTAGGTTTGTAAAATTGACTTCTGCAATGAATTCAAACTCGATTTTTTTAGAACATCTACTATCATGATTGTCTGGATATTTCCGAATAATATGCTAAAGGATGTTAAACTCGCAGTTAACAAAATATAAGTCTATAGAAATCGATGATAAATGTACAAATTTTTTATTAGCGACTTATACAGATATGCGTGAATCAAAATAACAGAATATCGCTCAATTTAATCTGTTCGATTCATCGAGTATGGTGGATATGATATCAAAAAAATCTCGACCTCGTTGATGATGAAGGAGATGGGCAATGAAATAAAGGCAGAAATGCAAATGACACACGATATTTGCTGTGAAAATGGAGAAGAAAGAATGGGTATAGCAAATTAGCAATAGCACAACTGCGCAAAGAGGAGAATCAACCAAACAAACGAGAGCCGGCCTGTGGGCTTTTACGAAAGGTTACATTTGATAAAAGGTCTAATGGGCCTTATGTGTTTTCAATATTCTCAAACCCAATCCATCCCATCGGAGGACCCAAAAATGAAGCCCATATGTGACCCACGCCCACGGGACGGGAGCGTGGCAAAGGAAACTAAAACCAAAATGGCATTTACAGAGAGTCCAATATGTGGTAATTATCATAATTTCTTTTTCGTCACTAAACGATGCAAGTAACCATGAGAAAATTAAGAATAAGTAACACAATAATTGATGACAAATATTCTTTTAGTGCAACTTATTCAAGATTGTAACCTTTTGATGTAGGTACAATGTGACATGGTTAGGTTTCTTCATCAAACTATGTTTAATTTGACTCTCAGTAAGTAACTATCAACAATATGAACAATGGAAACCGACCATGAGGAGGAATACAATAATAATTGAAAGAAGATTAAAGTTTTTATGGTGGCCTAACTATAGATGGTATAATTAAGATTAGGTCGACCATATGAGCACACAAATTATGAGTTGCCAGTAATAGTAAGATCAGTACCACCGTCTGTTTTCACTCTCACACAACAACAATGTTGGTGATTGTTAATCGTTTGTCCTAGTTTTTATGTTATCACTCTAAATTTTGATTATTAGTTTTTTTTTCCTTTTATTTTTTTATTTACACCCTCAATTTACAGGGAAAAAACACACATACATCCTCTCCATTGAAACACATGCCTTGACCCCCTCTTATGAGTCGATCACTGCCATGTCGCCATCAAACCATGACTAAAGAAGTGCATGGCTAGCTGAAGTTGGATTTTGGTCTGGCCTCGTTGGTACTTCTTCTTTGTCAAGAACCAATCAGTCTCAATAACCCTCGCGTATGACGAAAACAAGACCAAGCTGAACCTGCAATCAAGTTTCACTTAGACTTCGGAGATGACTATGATGATCCTTGTCCAAAAACCTACCAAACAATAATCTCTTTGCCCCATGAGTTGGATATCGCAACTAGGAAACAAATGAAACAGCCAAAACTTCACCTAATCCACATATCAAACAACGAGTGGGGACGCCGTGGCCGAAGATCTATTTTACTCCATAAAATAAGAACGTGTCTTAAAACCGAATTTCATTAATTTGCCCACCTCTCTCTTGTCTTTCCCTCTCGTCTCTTAGTTTCCCATAATAAACTATTTTGCATTCGAAAAGCATACACGACGGACGGACGGACGACCAAAACCGGTGCCGATCGAGTACGGCGACTCATTCCAATTCATCAAACATTATTATTATTATATCAAGTGTCATATTCACACATGCACTTGAGAATTGACAACGGCTCCTTTCGTCCTTAAGAAAAAGAAAAAAAACAATTGTAGTTTCCTGACAATTTTTGGCCGGGGGCCGGTCGCCGGAGAAAGCCCGCAAACAAACAAGTTGCAAATAAATTATCTATTTCACTGCCCCCCGCTTGATTTCCTTAATTGCTGCCGGCAAACTGATGATACTAATACTTAATTAATTAACAACGAAAGAACGAAGATGCAAGTCTTCCCACACGCTTGGAATTGTCGTCGGTAAGTTTGTTGCTCAACGAAGATGATTGATGTCAAGTTATTTACCGCTTCAGAAAAACTTGGTCATTGGAACTTCGTAAGAGAATAAAATAAAGATTTCATACACAATTAAATCTCTTCGTAGAACATTGTTTCATAACAACTCGAGTCATTGATGTCAACTAAATTTTTTCTATGACATCATAGTTTTTCATCGAGAGGTGAGTTCGTATTGCTGCTCTCTAACCATGCTACTCGACTTGCAACTTACCGATCGATTGAAGTAGCTTAAATTTTACAACCACATTCTATGTCATTACTATCGTTCGATAATACTATAAAACCATTCTTGGATTATAAGAGAATGGAACATTCTCTCAACAAGTCGAGTTATTGGGACCAACTGGTTTATGACATGGTATCATAGCAGGTTTGGCCAAGTGGTCATGTGTTCGAATCTCTACGACTCTCAATATTAACAGTTGATTAAAGCACAAGGTACGGTGACCGCCTATGCAAACTTTAAACTCATGGGTTGGCTTTCGTTTAAGGGAACGTGTTAGAGAATAGAATAAAATCAATAGAACGTTCTTCCAACAACTCGAGTTATTGAGACAACTGATTTATGACATTGATAACATCAAAGTTGCATCTCATCCTTACCCACTGCCACATGTACCACTGAGACTCATTCTTAAAAGTTTGCATCAAGATCCATCCTTCCCTCAAATATTTTACTGCCTACCCCTCAAATGACATGCTGCTACGTACCCATAAAGTAGCTAATTAATTAGCCACCCGATCGTGCCGTCGAACGTCATACATTACAACAACAAAACCCCAACGTGCATGTATCTTTCGTATGGATTAATAGACGGATTTGACTTGTTCTAATGAAAAGACTTTCGTACGGGTAATGGAAATTATCTCTTTAAAAGAACAAGTTACAAGTTTACTGTTTCTTAGAGTCACATCAAAACACTGTCACTTGGTTTGCTTTTTTGCCTCTTGTTCTCCTTTCTGATTGGCCCTTCTTCTGAGTACTGACATCCATAGGTGGCTCTCTTTTGTAATTAACCATTAACCAAGGTTTTACTGAGGACGAAAAATGCACTGATGTTTCCTTTCTTTGCCAGATTTTAGCTGAGTCTTCGTTTGTAATCATTGCTTTCCTCTCTCTGGTCTCTATGCTTTTTGCCTGGGTTGCTTCGCCAGCGACTTCTCTTCTCTCTGCAACTGATCGGTTTTCGGAACTCCTCACCTTTCCCCTGGAAATGACAGGACTGCTGCTTCCTTATCTGTTCCTTTCCCCACAAAAGTCTTGTTTTGCTTTGCTACCTTTCATTTATGCTTCTCACAGACTTTCCCTCTTCTATCTTGCTTTCTTCTATTGCTCTTCCATGGTGACCCATAAATTGCTTCTTGACCTCAGCGACTCCGATGGCCCTCAGACTCTTCTGAAGCTGCGCCTCCTTAATGCGTGGGGGTCTTATGGTCTGAAGAATCCTAAATTAATCTTCAACTACTGCACTCTTTGGAACGATGAGGAGGTTAGCGCTGCTTTCCTGTTTTTTTTTTTTCATGCAATTTTGCGCCTCCCTTTTGTTTGCAGCCCTCTGATGTTCGTGTATTTCCTGCCCAGGGTACTTTGATTCAGGGCACAGCTCCGTCGGAACTCACGCGCCATTTTGCTCCGCTTCTGCAGTTGGGTAGCGTTTACTTCGTTAGCAATTTTCGCGTCAAGCCACCGTCCCCTTCGTATCGTTCTTGCTCTCATAAGTTGACCATCGTCCTCTCTGCCGCTACACAGTTCGAAGACGTGACCCGTTCGTCGCCTTCATTCTGGCCGGATGCGTTTGAATTTACCCCGTTCAGTTCGCTTCATTCCCGCATACGTTCATCGGTTTATCTAACAGGTCTTATTCTGTGTCCTTTACGTCTCTTGCTGTTCGTTTTATAGTGTACTGAATAACATCCTTTGCGTTCTTCTCTTGCTTGCGGCTCTGTCAGATGTCGTTGGCGCTGTTGTTAGCATCACAGGCGTTTCTAGCACCGTCACTTCGTTCGGTACCACTGTGCGTAGTGATTTGGTGCTTCAGAATGAAAAGTATGTTACACATACACACCACTTCTTTATCGACTATAATACACCTGTTACTAACTTTCGGTGTTTCGTTGCCCAGTCACATGTTTCTTGATATCAGCCTGTGGAGTGAGATAGCTCGGAATCTCAATGGTCAGGAACTGGCTGTCCTTGGTCGTTCTGGGCCAGTTATGCTAGCTGTTTCCTCACTTCGGGTCACTGGCGCTACGAAAGGTCTCCATATACCTTACCGCCGCAGGATTCTCCCTTTCATTTCCCTTCCTCTTTTCCTCATTAACTTTACCCCTTTTGTAGGAGGTTACTCTCTTACCAGTACTCCAGGCACACGTTGTGTTCTCAACCCTGTTTCTGAAATGGCTCACCTGGTCCAATCTGTGTATGCCTCTTCTTATCCTTATCATATTTTCTTTTCCCTCAGCATCGTTAGTTGTCTTTTTGTTCCTGCTAATTTGTTGCGTTCCTTGCTTTTGCTTTCGCTAGGTTCTTTGCCAGCACTAATACATGTCAATATTACCCTCCGAGGTTTGCAACTCCTAATGAGGCAGCGGCTTTTGAAGCTGAATGTACGAAGACTGTAGCACAGCTCCTTGCCTTGTGTTTTCCACCTGCTGCCGATGTATGTTCCTTCCCCTTTTGCTCTCCTGCTTACCTGCTTCTGTTCCTTTCACTTTATTTGTTTGTCCGTCTAATCGTTTCTTCCGTTTCCTTTTGTGTAGTCTACGCGTTACCATTGCTCTGGTCGGATCGTCTCGGTTGATTCTTCTATGCAGTGGTATTACTTGGGTTGTGCGCTTTGTTCCAAAGCAGCCATAGATTATGATGGTGTTGACAAATGGTGTGATGACCACCGTCGATTGGTGCCTCAACAAACACAGAACTTGTAATTCCTTTCTTCATTCTTGCCCCCATACCTTTTGCCTTTCCTCGTGTCCTTACATGCTCCTGTACGTGTTTTGTGCAGTTACAAGCTCCGGGTAACAGTTGATGACAACACTGGATCAGCAGCTTTTGTTCTGCTGGGTAGGGCCGCTGACCTTCTTGTGGGCTTGACTGCTAACGATCTCTCTACCAGGTTTCCTTACCAGCGCAATGTTTTACCACAAGAACTCCTGGCTCTTGAAGGGCGAGACTTTACTTTCGACGTCCAGCTTCCAAAACCGGAATATGGGTCTCGTGGCCCCCCAGAGTTCACGGTCCTTGCTGTCACTGAACAAGAACAACCAAATTCCTGCTCACCAGCTCTTGGTCGCCGGGCAAGAAATGCTATGTCCCATACACCACCTCCTAACAGGTATTTAAATGTCCTGACTTTTGTGGTACGTTTTCCTTTTGTTCATTACTAATCGCTGCTTTCCGTTGCAGTCCTCACAAGATGCCTCTTGCTTCTCCATATGTTGTTCCAACAATGCCGAACGCTTCGGTAGACCATGGTCCTTCTGTTGCTTCACCGAGGTTATGCTTCCATTTTACATGCCCTCTTTTCCCTGATTGTTCTTTGTCTTGAACTCGGGTTTCTCCTTAAATTTGCAGTGGGAGTTCTCAGCTTGCATTTTCTACTCCTCCACGTCGCCCCTATAGCAGGTTTTTTCTAAAATTCACTTTGCTTTACAAAATTGACAGCGCTCCTTTGGACGCTGTCGTACTCTTCCCAATGTGTTGACATTTCTTTCCCATGCGTTGTTTACCATCAATTTCCAGTAGCCGCATCGCTGCTGTATCTTCGCCCTCATCTGCTGCATTAGGAAGGTTGCCTGTTTGTTGTCTGCTTTGCTAGCTTAGTTCTGCTTATACACGTTCTTAAGTCGTTTCCTGACATGTTTCTTTTAAACATCAGTTCCGTACCTTCTTCTCCCGAACTTAGTCGTACTGAGATTGTTTCCTATGCGCGGTCAGTTTCTTGCCTTTTCCTGTATTACCTCAATCGTTCGACTTTACGCCTGCTGATATTTGTCACTGTCTCTTGCACACCCGATCTGACTGCTTCGTAGGCCTAGAAGTGAGGAAGTGCCCCCAGAAACTGCACCACAGCGAACCCCACAGTACTTTCCCTACTGTTAACTTACTTACTAGCTTTTATTGTCTCTTCTTTACTTGCTGAGCAGCTCTGTATCAGGGAACTTGCTGCGGACACTACAGATGCTAATGTGCAGAACAAGAACATCAGTTCAAAGAAAGCGAAACCGAAGAAACCATCTGCTAAGAAGAAGTCTCTCTGCCCTTTATTACTTGCTATGTTTCTTGTACCAAATTTACCATATCCTACATTAGGTCTTCAGTTCCTATTTACCTTGCTTCTGCTTGCGTACTGGCAATTTACTTGGTTGTTGTGCAATCTCTTAAAAAAATGTGCCCTGCTCCCTACCCATTTCCCAGTGTTCTTTCGTTTTACCACTTACTTGGTTGTTAACTGTGCATACGCCACTATTGCCTCTTGGAATCCTTGTGTTTATCATAGTATCCTGCAGTGTACTTCGATTTACTGGCCTTACCTTCTACAACTTTGTTTAACTTTTGCAGGAAAACTGGTGCTGCAGGTGCTGCGCGTCGTCCTACAGTTACTCTTGAAGAAACCGATGTTCCGATAGCGTCCTTCAGATCCCTGTTGGACATCCTTTGCCAACCGAATCGGCGAATCCTGTCTCTGGAAATCTTAATGCCCTCGGTGTCAATTTGCAGACAACAACAATTCAGCCTTTGTCACAGTATGTGTCGTCCTAATTATCTTTCTGCCAGTGTTGTCTGCTCCCTAAGATTCCAGTTTGCATGCTTTTTGTGCCCTTTTAAAACTGATCAAAGATGGTTTCCAGCCTGCACAAAATACTTATTTTTGACGGGAAAGAACTGTAAACAATGCTTTTACATTTACCTTGGTCTTGTGCTTTTATACATGGTTCTATGTCGTTAACATAAAGTACAATAGCCGATGGATGGCCTTTGGTACCCCTTTCTTCGACCTTCGCTAACTTACACGTGTTTACAGTTTGCAGACGCACAATGTTACCTCTCAGTGCCATACTAATTATCTACGAATGTGTTACCTTTTTTTAAATACAGAACAAACTAAACAAATAGTTGTAGCTTTTGCTTACTTGGTCAGCTTCAAATCAATTGTTTTCCCACAGATTGAAGTAATAATCGTCTTTACTTTATGGAGATCCCTTGTGCAGTTTGTTCTTTGTTGTTAGCCATTGTCTTATTCTTGATTTACAAGTTGCTGCCGCATTGCATAGGAATGTGCATGTTTTCCCATATAGATGTGTTGTTAAAGACCTACTTCCTCTGTTTCCTTTTCTAGGCAACCTATGTCTATAAATCCTGCACCTGTACGGCGCCGTCGCTTGGTTGTTTATTCTGATGAAGACGAACCTGTTGTCCCTTTGGAACTGCAAGACTTGGATGTTGAACTTCCACTGCAAGAACAGCCTGTTGGAAACTCTTCGACTTATCCTGTTCCCACTGTTGACGTTCCTTTGCCTTCTCCTCTTCTTGCTGTCCAAGAAGTTCCGCTAATTTCAGTGGGGAAAACTAATTCTGGGAGGGCAAAGCGAATCAGAACACCGTCTACAAAGGCCATTGAAGCATCTGTGGATGCTTCTAAGAGAAAGACAAGAACTCCAAAATCGTCTGCTAAGGAACCTGCTAAGAAGCAACTGTTTGCTGATTAACCGTGATTCGCACCATGCGCGTGCTAATGTACCATGTTTGTCCAGTACTGTCCCTCCCTTCCTTTTGTAGAACTGTTTAAGGGGAACACTATTTAGCGAGTAGTGCATTCTGTACTTTTGCCTTTTTGTCTGAATGTTGCACCTTTGCACACCTGTGGTGTTCCATTACTGGCACCACTGTTATCAATCTGCTCTGCTATGACATTTGACTTGTATTGGTTACCTCTTGGTACAGATTACCCCTTGCGTACCTGCTTTCTAACCAGGTCTATGTCGTTAATATAAAACACCATTTGGCATGGACTCCTTTAAGTGGCATAGTATTGCGCCACTCTGCAACTGATCTTTAATTTGTGCTAAGGATCCTGTTGTACTTTGTATCTTCATTGTTGCGCGAAAATTCGCCGTTTAGGCCGCATTCGCATCGAGCCTGTGTCCTCTTCGTTAGTCACCTTGTTTTGCTCTGTATTCGCAGGTGGCCATTGCCTGTGTAAATGGCCGCTTGAGGACCAAATTGTGCACACTATTTATTCGTTTGCAGGGTATTTAGGTGGTGTCCTACCAGCCACACAGTAACTAGATATTTTGATTGTCCACTAATACCATGCCTTTGTTATTTAGCTTCCATAGACCCACATTATAAACTTATTTCTCTTCTATTAATTGCCATCATGCATTTATTATTCTGACTAGGCTGTTCACTAATGATGGCTTTATTACTTCTCACTTCTCTAGACTAGCCTGCTATGGTGCATGTTGTATTATTATACATTTTCTTAAGAAGGATATTTTTCCCTGGAAACATCGTTTACCTGTAGACTGTCTTCTTCCATAACTGCTTCCCCATTACTGCTCCTTTTTGCTCATTTGTCTTTGCTGTTGGTCATTGAATGCAATTCTCTGCTGCATCTGCTATACCATTACCTGGTATCTGCCTTCCTCTGCAATTCTGGCCAGTTTTTGTTATTCCACTGTACCCATTTAGAAGGCGTGGCATGGTTAGTTTGGTCAATTTAATTACTTTTATCTTGCTACGTTTACCATTGTTTCCTGTACCATGCTACGCTTGTGCCATAGTTTTGCAGGTCTTTGTTTTTTTTGTAACGTCAGTGTGTGATCTCAGGCCACTCCCAGACAGGCTGCACTCCTGTTCCCCCGCGTCGTTCTGCGAACAGGAAGCGTCGTCATATTGGTCTTTCCACTGAATTTGTGCCTCCACGCCTCCTTCGAGAAGTTCTGTGAGGCGTCGTGCGTGCAACTTTGATAGACGGGGACGCTTGCACCCACTGCTTGATTCAGAAGGTGAACTTGACTCATCCGAACTGGACTTAAGAACTCCTGAAGACTTAACAGCCAGTTCGCAGACTCAGCCTCCTGTTGCGTTGGATGGTGATTGTTCGTTGCCTGATGTGACTCTACCACCTTCACAACAATCAGACTTCAGTCGAATTATCGATCATGGTTTCCCTGACTGTGGAATGCCAATACTGTGGTGCACGGTTCTGGTATGAAGAGCGGCTTAACAGGCATGCATCTCTTGCTCCTGTTTTCACGCTTTGTTGTCAAAAGGGACGAGTACGCCTCCCATTCCTACAGGAAACTCCTCAGTACCTTGAAGACCTCTTGGGTGTTATGCCGGTCCTATGGCAGCGCACTTCAGGGAACATATACGCTCCTATAATGCTGCTTTTTCTTTCACATCTTTTGGAGCACGCCTTGATCCGAGAGTTACACGTTCACGAGGACCTTATTCATTTGTGATATGCGGAGAAAATTATCATCGAATGGGATCTTTGCTTCCTGCTGCAGGCCAGAGAACCTAATATTCTCAGCTATACGTCTTTGACCCGCAGACCGAACTAGCAGATCGGACTCTCCAATTTCTCTTCTGCTGAAAGGTCCCTGCGTCCTGATATTGTTTCTGGTTTAATGAAGCTGTTTGACGTGACAAATGAATTAGTTAAGTCTTTTAGACGCATTCAATCTGAATTGAATGATCCAGCATCAATCAATTTAAGACTGCGTATTGTTGGTGCACGGGACACAACATCTCGACAATATGAACTTCCCAACTGGTTCAGAATTGCTGGACCTCATTCCTGGTGATTTCTTGCCTGATAAGGAAGAACGAGACATCATTATTGATCATCGGTCAGAGGGCTGAAGAGGATCACAAGTGTACACCCGAAGTTTGATGCTTTGCATTTTCCAGTCCTTTTCCCATACGGAGAAGATGGATTCCATGTAACCATACCGTATGATCCTGTTCATACTCCCAAAACATTGAAAAGGAAACATGTGACTCAGAGAGAGTACTATGCTTACCGGCTTCAGCACAGAGACGACGAAGGTCAGACATTGATGCGAGGTGGGAAGGCACTTCAACATTACGTGGTTGATGCATATTCCACAATTGAACAAAACCGCCTCTATTATTTGCGATCGCATCAAGAAAACCTCCGTTCTGAACTATACTATGGCCTTACAGATGCTTTCAACAGAGGTGATGTTACAGGAGATGCTGTTGGCCATGTTGTTCTGCCATCATCGCATACTGAAGTCCTAGGTATATGAAGCAACTATACTTAGATGCAATGGCTGTTGTCCACCATCATGGCAGCCCCGACCTATTCATAACCTTTACGTGCAACTCCCAGTGGCCAGAAATAACAGAATCTTTCCGCACTGTCTGTGGTGCACGCAGGCGAACTAAAACCAGAGATTGTTGCTAGGGTCTTTCGCATGAAACTGAATGCACTGGAAGATGAATTAACACGAGGCCATTTTTTTTGGTCAAACAGTGGCAGGTTTGTTCGGTTGCCTTCTGTCTTACTTCCTTTTACAATTGCCTGTTATCAATTCTCCTTTTCCTGTTACTCTAAACTTCCTCACTTACCTCATGTTTTGTGCTCTAGCATAAATGACACATTTCGTTGCCTTATAATTCCAGGTATCAAACCGTCGAGTTTCAGAAACGGGGGTTTGCCCCATGTTCATATACTTTTATGGTTGGATGCAAAGAATAAGCTAGCGACAAGTTTCTGATATTGATGCAACTGTTAGTGCTGAACTGCCAGATCCATTACTAGATCCAATTGGGTATGATGCTGTGACAAAGTTTATGCTGCATGGTCCGTGTGGTCAAGATAATCCGACCAATGTTTGCATGAAAAGAAGGATCGTGTTCAAAGTATTTTCCAAAACCGTTTAATTCAGAAACTACAACGGACCAGTTTGGCTATACAGTCTATCGCCGTCGCGATACAGGTATAACAGCAGTGAAAGGTACAGCTATACTAGACAACCGGTTTATCGTTCCATATAATCGGAATTTACTTGTGCTGTTTCAAGCTCATATCAATGTCGAGGTCTGTCATCAAGGCCGCTTGATTAAATATTTGTTTAAGTACATTACAAAAGGGCCTGATAGATCCATGGTTCTTGCTGAAACTGCTGGCTTGTCTGTGTCTGATTCTGCTACCCCAAACCATATCCCTCCATTGGACGAAATTAAACAGTTTCTTGATTGTAGAAGTCTGTCTTCATATGAGGCAGCGTGGCGGATCTTTGAATTCCCTGTTCATGAACGAACACCGCCGGTTCAGCGGTTGTGCGTTCATCTTGAAGGGAGACATTATGTTCCTTATAGGAAGAAACAACGGCTGTCTCGAATACTTGCCCGCGATTCTGTTTCAGAGACAACATTGACACAATGGTTTTACCTTAACCAACGAGATCCAACTGCAAGGGATCTACTTTATGCCGAGACTCCGAATCGTTATATATGGAATGTGAAAACAAAAAAATGGGCTCCGCGGAAAAGAGGGTTCTCAATTGGAAGAATTGTCTATATCCATCCAGGTTGTGGTGATACATTTTATCTCAGACAACTTCTTACCAAAGTTCGTGGGTCAGTTAGTTATGCAGATCTTCGGACAGTCCATGGATTCCCATGTAGAACATATCAAGATGCGTGCCAGCGCCTTGGTCTTTTGTCTAACGATGATGAATGGTTACTTGTGATTAAAGAAGTCAGCCAATGGGGCATGTGCCGCTTGTTACGATACCTCTTTGTGTCCATGCTGATGTTCTGTGAACTATCAAACCCACTGCAGCTTTTCAATCAGACATGGGAATTGCTTTGCGAAGACATCACATATAGGTGCCAACGAGACGTTTGCTTCAACAACAACCTCATACCAACTGAATTGCCCAAAATAAATTGTTGTGGGAATTGCAGCACATGTTACATGCTTATTCAGCCACGTTATCTCATTTTAACCTTCCCTTGCCAACAGATGATCACCCACAAACTGATCCCTTGCTTCAGTTTGGAACTGATTCACATCCTGGTACTTTAGCTGCTGTGGATTCCCCACCTCCTGTAGTTGGTGATCTTAACAGAAAGCAACTTGAAGCTTTTCATTGTGTAATGGAATCTGTTATGTCTCCAACAGAAGACTCGCCTACATTCTACTTTCTGTATGGTCATGGAGGAACAGGCAAGACTTTTCTCTACAAAACTATTCTTGCGCAACTTAAAGAAGCTGGAAAAATAGTTTTGGTAGTTGCTTCTTCAGGAATTGCAGCAACATTACTTCCTGATGCAAGTACAGCTCACTCTCGGTTTAAAATACCACTGGAAATCGATCATGGTTCTTCATGTAATATCAAGAAAGGTACGCCATTGGCTCAATTGATCATTAATGCATCGCTTATAATATGGGATGAAGCCCCAATGGTTCACAGATTGTCTTTTGAGGCAGTAAACAGAGCTTTTTGTGATATTATGGATGTTCCGTTTGGTGGTGCACACTATAAACCGTTTGGTGGCAAAGTTGTTCTTCTTGGAGGCGATTTTCGTCAACGCTTCCAATAGTAGCTGATGCTGGCAGAGAAGAGAGTATTGATTCATCTCTGACCTGTTCCTTTTTGTGGCAACATTGCACTGTGTTGCACTTAACTGAAAATATGCGCGTGGTTGCTTCCCGGGAGAGTCAAAGGTCAACTTTTGGTGGCATGCCCTTTACCGAATGGACTCTTGCTGTGGGAAATGGGAATGTGCCAGGAAAATCATTTCCTTCTAACCAATCTACTGATTGGATAGAGATTCCGGAATCATTACTGCTTCCTTCTTCAGGAAATCCCATCCATACGATTACGTCTACAGTCTATCCTGACTTTGCTCAACGGTTCCATAATGTATCGTACCTCACTGAAAGATCCATTATCACACCGACCAATGCAAATGTCACAGAGATCAATTCTCATATGTTAGCTCTGATTCCGGGAATGCCACGCACATATTTTAGTGGTGACAGTCTTCATACAGATGCAAGCGATCCAGACCGACTCGAAGCTGAATATCCCACTGAATTCCTTAATTCCTTGTCCTTCAATGGCTGCCCTGAACATCAGATTGATCTCAAGGTATTTGCTCCAATTATGCTGTTGAGGAATCTAAACCCATCCATTGGTCTTTGTAATGGTACACGCTTAATGGTGCTCTATTTGGGCCATTATGTGATAAAAGGAATGATAATGGGGGGTACATTCAATGGTAAGACTGTGGCAATTCCAAGAATTGTCCTTAGTGTCAATGATTATCGTTGGCCATTTGTTCTTAAGCGCCGGCAGTTTCCAGTACGATTGTGCTACGCCATGACAATCAACAAAAGCCAGGGCCAGACATTGCAAAATGTTGGTGTGTATCTGCCGAAGCCAGTGTTCAGCCATGGCCAACTTTATGTCGCTGTTTCTAGAGTTAGAACACCAGATGGACTTAGGTTCCTTATTATGAATGAAGATGGCGTGCCTTCCAACTGTACCCGAAATATTGTTTACCAGGAAGCATTCGTTGACCTTCAGACCCCATCTTCCTAACTAGAGGTATTCCTTTCAATCTGGTACATTGAATCTTTTGTAGATTGCTTGCTCAGCATCCTCCTGGAACTGAAATGTATCTTCTAACGTTCATATTCGTTGCTGCCTTTATTTCACAGGTCTGGTGCGGATCTCTCGAACCAAAGAATCCCATGTTGCTGTTTTTTTGGGTTGTGGCCTCTATCTTATAAAGGCAAAACAAGTGTTTCGTTTCCAGGGATTCAAATTACCAGTTCGCAGAGGGTTTGTCGGATGGGTACTTTAGGCAATCCACGTTTAAATAAACCTGTTGCGTTTCACCTCCAACACATTCTGCCGGTGGACCGGGACAGTTTTTAATATAGTGGGCCGGCCTGTTGCCCCCTGAAGTATCCAGCCCAAACTTTTTCCCCTTGACGTATCCGGCCCAAACTCTTCTCCCTTGACGTAGTTGGCCCAAGGACTGCTGGTTAAATTTCCATCGGAATCTGACGGAAACCATATTCAGCTGCCGCGATGCTATCTTTTAGCTGGAAAGATGCCCTTATTTCCTATGTGGCTCATGCAGTAATCGGGCCAGAGTTGTTTGCAAAACCCATGGCAAATGACTACACACAGCCGGGCTAATACATTTCAAATGCATCTAACTAAATTGGCCCTGTGGGGGGTTTTCCCTTTTGTTTGGGCGGCTACCTAAATGGTCTGCCAGCGCGTTCCAACTCTAAACTCTAGAATACACTAATTTACAAGGAATTTACTAAAGAGCAAGGAATGTGACAGTTAACAAAGAACACAATTATATGATCCTCAAAATATGGTCACATGAAGGACCACCGCAAAAGGATAATACCCTTTCAAAAAAATGTGCCCACATATTCACTACGCGGTTAGATAATTCGAAACTAAAGTGAGGTCGACCATTACTAACATTAATCCGATTAGCCTAATACTACCCTACGCTACTTAGTCTAAAATCGGGAACAACTTAACCAAAAAGACATTAAGACGATTCTCCACGTTGTTCCAAGGTCCGAATGTCAGCAAAGCACTATATGGGCCCTCACCAATCCTGTTGAGTAGTGGAATGTACTCCATATCTTCCATCTCATCAGGACCAACAGCAGCAGACATGACTCGCCGTAAGTAAGTTGATGGACATACGAGCTCAATACCGGTGGTAAAATCTTCAATTGTCACGTGCAACATGTATATGCCGGAGTCGGCATTCCAAGATCTCCTCACTTCTTTGACCCACCCATTCAAAATGTATGACTTGCCCTGGTACAATACAAAACAAAAGGAATTCAAAACAAGACCCCATTAGATGCAAATTCTTTAGAGGCAATATAGCTTCCGGCTAGATAAAATATATGTTATCTGATTCACCTGATTAGCAACATCCAATTGCATAGGGATAAGTTCATCCGTTTCTATATGGTCCCAAATTCGTACGGCAACTTCATATCGCAAATTTGAAACGAAGTCTCCCATGGAAAAGAACCTATAATTTAAATTAGTAGCAATATTAGCAACTCTATCAACAAATGTTAGAGCTATACAACTAATCAACTAAATATGTAAACCCGAATGTGCACAAACAATAGCAACACAATACATGAATGTGTCACTACAAGCATACAAAGTTTCCTTGGAGTATCGAACTAAAAAAAAACAAACTATTCTGAATGATAACATTGTATTAGCTCTGGAAAAACCTAATTTGAAGGCCGGCAAACGAATGTAGTTGATGAGCGGTCTGGAAAAAGTGGCATAAATTCTTGATGAGGAAAGGGAAGTTTTTGCCGAGGTAGGGTTTTAGAGATTACCTTGTAGAGATGCTGAGGTAGGACTAACGTCGATCAGGCAGAGAGAAGGCCTGGAAATGATTGCATGCACTGGAATGGGTTCACAGTTGCTTTGGTGGCCGGAGAGTGAGCAGAGCAGAAAAAAGCGTCAGGGAAAAAGGGAGGTGAAACGTCCTAGGATGGGTTTTAATGCGGTCAGATTTGAACACTTACCTCCTGGAAATGTAGAGATGGTACTAATATCGGTCAGTCAGGCAGCCCTGGATCATGAGTGCATGCAATAGCTTGGATGGCCTGATTTCCTTCTCCGGCGAATAAACAGTACCGTCGTGCTTCGGTGGCGTTGTTGAAGTCCACGCGAGTGGTGACTGGACGCTAGGTTGTTCGCCGAGGGAGAATAAGCGAACCGTATGGAATATGTCGGGGTTTGCGGCGGGAGCGGGAATCAGGAGAAGCAGAAGATGGCGGGTTGGCGATGTGGATGGTCAGGTTTCTGTGGAGGGCCTGGAGGGTAGGTGAGAGCGATGGAGGAGGGAAAGGAAGAAGGGAGTTAAACCGTCTTCGGGTGGGTGGGAGGTTTTTATTGTTTAGCTTTATTTTACTTTTTATATTTGCTTGATCGAAACGTGGACATGACTGTCCATTTGGTTTGAATTTTTTGCCTTCAACCAAACACAACTCAATTGGAAAGCAAATTTTTCGTTTGGTTTTTTTTAAACCAATAAGCAACTTAATGTCTTTGCCTTGGTTAAAACTGAAAAAACAATAGAACCCATGAATAATACATTATTCATCCGCAAGGTTGTTCTTTTGAAAAAACAAAAAATCCCCTTTTGCCACGCATACCAACCAATAATTTGTGCTGCCTATACAGATATGTGCTTGTCAAGTCATAATAAATAAATGAACACCTAACTCTTCTTTTTTATTCAATGATACGAGTGATTAATTGCCTAACAAATTCGCTACTTCAAAATGGTATTCATTTATTTAAAAAACAGCAACCCTAGCGATGCATTGTTAATTGATTCATGTTTATGAGGAAATCTAATCAATCCTCCTACACCAACAACCCGCTACTAAAAGGGATCGTCTTAAGCAACATAGTCTTGCGACTCATTTGGTAGTACATTAAATCAATTTGAAGGTCTTACAACATCATACTAATTTCATCTGTGTATTTCACTTGCATGAATACTCACCATTCAAGCACAAGTGCACATATTGATCGCTCGAGTTCCAAAAAACCTTTACTCTGAGAAAAATGTCATTGGGATGGATGTCTTGCACTATCCCGATTAAATCTTCCCGTGTGTTAAATGTACATTACCGAAATAGAATTCCCTGTTATTATAGTTTAATTGATCAATAAAAACAAATGCTCAATGAAGTGGCAGAAATGTGCCACACCCCATTCCACTCTCCCAAACTTTTATTGCCGCCAGTGTAATGGGAACAGTTCAGTTTAGGATATGTGGTTTTTTCCTGTACACTTTTCTAAGGTAGATAGCTACATATATGGACCCATTCTACATAACCAAGTGAAACAACTATTCGCAAGGGCCTGTTAGACATGACAGCCCATTTATAGCCCACAACAAGAACTCATACGTCACTGTCGTTTCCCCTAATCAACCGTGGAGGAGATTTCGGCCCACATGGTTTTTTTGTGGTCCTTGGACACTGACAGTCGTTTTTACTCAGCCTGAACAACCACCTACTTCCTTTCGTGTATAAGGAACTCTGGATTTCTAATTCAATAAGTGCTATGCAAACTTCAGTTCGCCTGAACTTTATTTCCATCCTGCGCTGCATCGTCAACTCGACGCAAACGGTTTGTACTTATCTCTCTTTTACTTGCAGTTTGGTATACCATGCATAGTGTTCCGCTTTTATTGTCTGAACTCATTATCCTTGTGCTTGGGGGAAACATCGCCGCATGTGAAATTAGGGTTTGCCTTGAAATCCCGGCATTCCTTGGCCTCTCAGTTCACCGCAGTTTATGCTCTCTGTCGCCTGGGCCAAAGTTTCACACAATTCAATGGACCTCAATTGTACCCTACGAAGTTCCCCAGAAGGTTGGACTCCTCACACTCTAATCATTTACATGTCGGCACTGTTATTTATACAGGGGGGAAACAATCGGCCAGTTCTTTTATTTTCCAGTGCATGGATACGGTCGTTGCTGTTGCTGTCAGTAGTTGAATGGCGTGTACTTCCTTTTTGAAATTTCAGACCTAATCAGTACGTCAACTACAGTTTGGGACCTCAAAGGAAAAATGGTAGCTGGTCACATTGTACTGCGCTTGATTCATATCTGGCTATCTGATGAATACATGGGAACGGAGAGCAACCAATTCATGTATACTTTATGGGTTGATGTGGAGGTTGGCATATTCGATTTTCAAGTTAATTCCATGTTACTTATTATGCCAAACTGATACTCATGATATGGTTCTATTCTTTCATAGGAATCTTTAATTGAGGGAGTCACCGACAGAATTGATATGGCTAATATCGAACCACTTCTCGAGGTGGGCCTGCTCTACGTACTGGATGAAGTACCACTAACCGTGGCAAGAAGTACTCAAAGAACTGCAACTGGTAATTTACGCCTTTGCCTTCGGACAGGACTATCATGCAGGAACCTCGATGAAAATCAAATAAAGAAGCGGTTCCCGGTTGATGGATTTAAGAACACAGAATTTGAAGAACTTTACGGGATGGCCTTGGACCCAACGAACTTGGCAGGTAAGGTTTGCCTGCGTGATCAATTTTTCCTCCAAATATTGTTCTGATACTAGGGTCCTTGAACGTTTCCAGATCTCACAGGTCGTGTTTTAGCGATATCAGAACCAGTATACAATAGTGATAGCACTACCTTCATGATGATCCAAATAGAAAACACCAGGTTAATGTTTATAGTCCTTCCTTTTACATTCGAACTTGTGAGAACTACACTAACACTCTCTGCATTCTATCAGGAAGCAAACTGTTGTGATCAATTACACTGCTCCCTACGATGATTTCTACTATTGGGCTGAAGCCACTGAACTCAAATATCCGGTGGTCGCGACCTTCACGAGCATTTTTGTTGCTCAGCCTGAACCGAGATGTGCGCCTCTTAATCTCTCTATTCGTTGTTATGCCTTTTACACAAATCTGTGCTGAAATACAATTTACCTGTGTAGATCAATTGGTTTTAACCAGCACAAA